TTGGCTGAAAGAAAATTTATTTGATAGAACTTAAAAACTTAAAAACTTAAAAAGTAAAAATAGACTGTAGTAAAATTGAGTAGGGGTCCTTTCCTCTGTGAGTGGATTATATCTGTCAGTCTGGTCTAATGCTAATGTCCTTATTGTGGTTTACCAGTTATGCCTAGAAAACAAATGAATAAAGAGCCATATTTTGAAACCGACTATAGAATTAAAGTCATATCCACCTTATCCTTTAAGTTATTTCTGTCTAGCCCCAAAAGCAATAAAGGGTTTAGTACCAAACAGTTACCTTAAAAATTAGGTTAATACTGGTTTCTGTAGTATACATTGTATACACTGTAACCTTCTTACTTAAAAAGAAAGGCCTTTGTTGGTCTTTTGTGCATTATGAAAGCTCCTTTTGTATCTATACAAACCATTAGAGTGCTTGCTTTGTAACCGGGAGGTCGTGAGTTCAAACCCTGGCCTAGTCATACCAAAGACTTTGAAAATGGTACATACTGCTTTGATTCTCTGCTTAGCACTCAGCATCTTAGAGAAAGAGTGTGGGAAGGTCAAACACACACCACTACCAGTGGACTAGCCCCCTGCTGTAGTGCTTGCACAACTGTGTGGCCCAAGGGCTATAGAAATGGAGATGGGTACCACCCCTATGCTCTGCACAGAGTGGAATCAAAGGTTCTTTTTTGTATCATTCTTTAGATGTTGAAAAGGGCCCACCATGAAACATCACAGAGAAAACCGGCTATTAGTACAACTGTAATTCACTTTATGTTCACGGTAGCAAAATATCACAGTCTGATAAAAGTAGACATGTTCATGGAACTATATATTCATGGTGGCGAAAAGTGCAGGAAAAAAAATTCCAGGAATTATTTGTTAACTGTAATGGTAAGTTCACTGTACAATAGTGACAGTGAAAACAGTGAACATAAAGTACTGTGAAAAAATCAGTAATTACAGTATGCTCAATCTTCAATTGATTTTCCCTTCGGTAATGCCTTTTGCGTGGGCTTTTGATGGACGATTGCAGTCGTTAAGGCCAGTGTTTAACTCTTTCAATCTGCTGCTTCCTTTATTGTCAGTGGTGGCGTAAGTTGTGGAAAGTGGTTGGACTGAGTCTGCATTGCCAATAATAATGGCGGGTTAACTTGTGGGGTCGTGTGGCGTAACGGCCAGCAGAGCATTGACGGCTCAGAACCAAGAGGCCCCGGGTTCGAATCCTGCCAATGTCACCAACCTATAGACGAATTTCTCCAGTATAATGAACCAGGGCTCTACCCACCAACTGTTTTTCTGTCAATTGCAAGAACTTTGTAGTGGGTGACATTGACAAAATTGACAAAAATCTTAGGAAAAAAAAAATTAATATATATAAAAAACATCCAAAGGACCACAAACAACCACTGTCAACCCCATGATTTGCTTCTCAAATTGTGGGAAATGACATTTTCAATTGTCATTTAAAGGCTTAAATTTGCCCCCGGACCCCCCTAGATTGTGAGCACTCTCCCCCCAGGTCTACCTGGACTGACGAAAAAAAATTGAGCTGGCTAGAGGCCTGTAATGAACCTGTAAGTACTGTACATTAAATGTCTGTCTTCTCTGTCACAACTGACTTGAATTATGAAATAAAGACTAAACTTTAACTGTATACTACCAAGAACACTATAATGAATTGGGACTTACCCCAAATTTTAAGCTTGAAATATTAGTTCTTCATTGTCAATATGAACTGGATCAAGATCACTTTCAATGCTTTTTTGTGCTTCTGAGCTTTGCGTCACAATCAAGTGTATGTCAACAAGATAGAGGTGGCAAAATGACATGGTGTCTGTTAATTACCTGACAGTGTACTTACCCTGGCTAGGGCAAGGTTTTAAGTTGTTATTTTGCCACTTTACCTGCTATGATCATTATTATTAGATACACTGTGTAGTACTTAGAGTAATCCTTGTTAAGGCTTGTCAATATACGTCATACACGTCAGATACATTTGAATGACATGTCATTGAGAAAAGGAGCGTATTATGTGGCATCTAGAATGGCAGTTAAGGGTATGTGATGCTTAATGAAATTTTAAAGCAGATGATCTTTGCATCACAAGTATCTCACAATCAAGTGTATGTTGAAAGCAATACCTGCCAAAACAGACTGTTTTAGATTGTCTTTTTTTCCAAGAACGATAAATGAGTGGAACAAGTTGCCGGGCCAGCTAGTAAAAGCCCAGACAGTAGAGGCCTTCAAGGCCGGGCTTCTGGCCGCGCAGCCATAGTCGGTCGCACCCCCCCCTCTCAGTGATACCCCAGCAGGGGTGGTTAGAGAGTATTGAAGAAGAAGAAGAAAGATATGGCAGAGCGATATGACGTCTAGTTACAGTACTGTTGTCCTTTAACTGAACACTTAACCTGACTACGCATCATTTGGTTTCAAGTTCATCTTCTTAGCCTGCCACTTTGCCTGGCTATGATCGTTATAAATTATCACAGTCTGTACAGTACTTACTCAATAGAGAAATCCAGTACTAGGCTTGTCAATAACTTACGTCATACAGATACATTTGAATGACATGTCATTGAGAAAAGGAGCATATGTGGCATCTAGAATATTAATGGCAGTTAAGGGTATGTGATGCTGGTATGAAATTCTAATCTAAAAGCAAATGATCTGGTTACAACAAGTTCTCAGCCTGTAAGATTTCAGTCCCACATGTAGGTACTATGTTGAAACTGAGAGTATGTCAGGTCATCTCTTTGCTTGTGCCAAAAGTTCACAAAAACTCTGTTTCCTAGAGTTCTGAAATCTCCAATTTCTTCTTTGAATTTGTCCTTTCCTGAGCTGGAATTGGGTACGAACTGGGTTGAAAAGGTTGACAATCGTGTGTCACTTCGTACTACATAATTTGCTTCGTCAGGACAATTTTCTTCCCCACTTTAAAAGGCTCTATTGTACAGAATGTAGGTTGTTACCCGTGACAATGACACTAGGACCTGTGGTGTAATTGTTCATCTATATGTAAAATATTGCAGTGTAAGGATGTACTATTTGGTGCCCCAGGTCTTCTCGGTAGGTCAGACTGTTATATTTGTCAGATTGGGGATGGGTAAAACTAAAAGGCAGTGAAAGAGCTCTTCCTTTTGATGCCATGCCCTAGACACAGTGTCTCTTCATATATAGTAATGGCCACTAGGCTATGGGACCTTTACAATGTACCTAAGCTTGTATTGTAACAGTTGTATCTCACTCACTCACTCACTCACTATCCATGCCGTCTGTATCTGTAACGGTATAGCCAGTATAACTGCCCTTCGGCATAACACACCAGCTTCTGTATCGGTATAGCCAGTATAACCGCCCCTTGGCGTAACACAACAGCTTCACAGGCACACGGTGCAGCGGCAGCTAGCTATATCACACCAAACGACCTGTTACACTCAATCATTGCACATATAATTGCAGGAGTTGTTTAAAAAAAAGCTTTCTAGTGATGATGCCCCAACTGTTTTTGGCGGCAACAAGTTACACTTTGCACTAGTTCCCAAAAAATACAAGTCATCATCGATTTGGGTTGTTGAAAGCTGTTGAAAACTATTTCTGATTGAGAACGTGACATTGGAAAAACAAAGTTGTTGAAACACATTAAAAACAGACTCTCTTCCATTCAACGTCATAGGTCATTATGTAGTTAAGATGTACTATACCTGCATGTATTTGAAAAGTATGTAAGCACTATTGATTGTTACTTATGTTTGGAAATGACGTTAAACGTGTGAATGGTCATTGCGCCAGTGCGTTCTGCACTGCATCAGTCAATTGCCACTTTTCAATCCTGACGTTTTTTTTTCTTTGACGTGTGAAGTGTACAAGTAGTTGTGGTATTGAAGTTTGCACATAGAATAAAGATATCCTTGTTAATATGCGACCAAGTGTTTTATGTAAGTGACATACGTACTATGTTTCGGCGACCATCTGTACATTTTGAACTTGTGAATGGTCATTGCATCAGTGCGTTCTGCACTGCATCAGTCAATTGCCACTTTCAATCTTGACGTTTTTTTTTCTTTGACGTGTCAAGTGTACATGTAGTTGTGGTATGCAAGTTTGCACATAGAATAAAGAGATCCTTGTTAATATGCGACCAAGTGTTTTATGTAAGTGACATACGTATGTTTCGGCGACCATCTGACAGGTACATTTTGAACTTGTGAATGGTCATTGCATCAGTGCATACTGCACTGCATAAGTCAATGGCCACTTTTCAATCCTGACGTCTTTTTTTTTTCTTTGACGTGTGAAGTGTATAATGTAGTTGTGGTACATTCAAGTTTGCACATAGAATAAAGAGATCCTTGTTATGCCACCAAGTACTCTATGTAACGTATGTGTATGTTTCGGTGACCGTCTGTCACCTTCCTCAGGGCAATTCTGACAGATTCACATTGCACTGCAGCACAGGTGTCACTTTGCTTACAGAAGCATTCCCAAACAAAAAGTATTTACATACAGACAGGTATTATACATGTTTACAAGGAACAGTATACGTGGTCCCAAATTGTGATGATAATGTGACACAGTAGAGTTTTCAACCCTCATTTGGCAAGAACTTATACAGAAAAAAAGTTCACTGTGTTTCATGTTTCAGTCCTGAAAAAATTAGGGATTATCTTTTTTTTCAGATTTTGGGAAACAGGAAACACAACATTTTTTTTCCTCTAGTATAGGCCTTATTACCCACTAGGCTAGAATTTCAGACCTGTTGTGTGACTGTGGAGTATTTTGTTGTTTGTACTTCAGCTTGCAGAGAAAAGTGATGTTCTGGTTGAGAACTACCTTCCAGGGAAGCTTTCAGAGATGGGTCTGGGGTACCCTGGCTTGAGGGAGCTCTGTCCACACCTGATCTACTGCTCTGTCACAGGTAGGTACAGGTACATAGGTACAGGTATAGGTACAGGCATAGGTACAGGTACAGCATAGGTACAGGTACACAGGTACAGGGAAGCTTGCTGAGATGGGTCTGGGGTACCCTGACCTGAGGGAGCTCTGTCCACACCTGATCTACTGCTCTGTCACAGGTAGGTACAGGGACAGGGACACAGGTATAGGGAATCTGGCTGAGATGGGTCTGGGGTACCCTGACCTGAGGGATCTCTGTCCACATCTCATATACTGCTCTGTCACAGGTAGGGGGAAAACCTTTGATCCCACCACACTTAACAAACAGAGCGGGGTTCCTTCTCGGTGTAAGTGGTCCAAGCCTTACAGTGAGTGGTCTCAGGCTAGGTTTGACTGGGGTACTCTGACCTGAGGGAGCTCTGTCCACACCTTATCTACTGCTCTGTCACAGGTATAGTGTATATAATATAGGTACAGGTACAGGTACACTGGTTTAGGTACAGGTCTGGACCTATACCTCAGACCATACGAAAATTGCTGTTCATTTTTATGTGTCAAGAAAGCTAAGAATCCATCCACCCATCCATCCACCCATCCATCCATCCATCCATCCATCCATCCATCCATCCATCCATCCATCCATCCATCCATCCATCCATCCATCCATCCATCCACCCATACAATTTTTAAGGTAAGTCACTATGGCCTAACTGAAATTCAAACCATCAGTTAAAAGCTTTTCAGTGGCCCACTTTTCCATTTCAAAGATGATCTTTGACTATGATCTCTGGCAGGTGTGGAAATTAAAATTTTACCCAGACCTGTAGGCATAAGATAACGTTTATCCATCTATTTTCTTCATTATCTGAAATATCATCAATGATGTCTTCAGGTTCACTAAATTATAAAGGGATAAAACTAGGCCATTGAAAATGATAAGAGATGGAAATTAAAAGCACACCAAAGCCAGTAAATGACCATCTTTCTTCCACAATTAAGACTTACATGTTACCTTGTTCATTTAAAGCTGAGATCTGTCTTTGGAGGGTATATGTAAATGTTATTGATGATGGAAATTTGATGGCCTTTACTGTATATGCTTACTTAGTACAGATGGTTGAACATAACACTATTAACAGCTCTGTACTTGACCATTAATACAGTAACTGTGATAATCATCCATACAGATTTTTTCACACCCATGTGTGTGTGTGCCTATGGAACATCATTGGCAGTGAACTGAACATACACTCAGTAACACTGGGTTTCTATAATGGTGCAGTGATGATCATAACTGCTAGGGGGCTCTTCTACCCAGTACAAGTAGTAGGCATGATACATGTACCAGGAATGACTGAAAAACAGATGGAAAGGATGAAATTGTGGGTGGAGAAGTGACAATAACAAAAAGACAAAAGGAAGCCTTGAAATTTCCTCGCTTAATATGTGACTATCCCATTGCAAATTTTTGTTGCCATACCAAGTCTCACGCACTTACAACCATACCTTAGTTGTAAGGTTCAAGCTTTGTTCCAACACAAGAAGGGAACTCACCATAAATTTTCGGTCAATCTTGTCAACCTTCATCAGATGTGTGATGCAATTGCTGATTCTCCGAAAGTCAGAAGTTTGATGATATCAGGAGTGCATCAAATGTGTTGGAACATTGAAGCTTGAACTTTACAACTTACAGTTACTATGAATTCTACCAACACAGCTTAAGCTTTCATTCTAATACAACCATACCTGGGGGCCTGCAAGGGGGGGTCCCGACAACGCTCTACGCTGAATTTGGAAACATCTCGATTAAGCTTTACGATAAATTCCAAGTGGCTACAACGCATTATGTAGAATGGAAACGGCGATTACGCTCTACGCAAAAATATTAGAGCGGTCCGTCTATGCTCTACGTAGAATTAAAACGGCCGATTACGCTCTACGGAAAAGGGCTTGCGGGCCCCCATTACTCCTCCACTGAAACTTCTTCTGCAATACCAAATCCATCTGCAAGGGGGCTCTCCTAACTGAAGCCTTCTCCATGTATGTTACAGGGTATGGCTGTGACGGTCCCTATGCAAAGAGAGCAGGCTATGATGTCATTGCTGCAGCAATGGGAGGTCTTCTACATATAACAGGACCAGAGGTGATTGGGCTAGGGAAACAGTATTATAAAATGTGTTGCTGCTCTGCATTAAGACATGATTTTGATATAGCTCATATTCAAGGTGACAAAAATTTTATTATAGCACAAGAAGGGATATGGAAAGAGATGTCGTTAATATAGGTTTCAGAATTTTGCTGCTCCCGCACCCCCCTAGGATTGTCTTTGCCACTTGACATGATATAACGTCAAACAAAATTGACATGAGGGAAAAATATTCAGGATGTCTACTACAGTGGATTGCAGTGTTGTTCACAAAGTGATGTATCATGATAGCAACAGAATCTCTGATTTTCTTTACCTTTGCAGAAGGAAAACATTGTTTTTGCTCTGTTTCTTCTCTTCTTCTTCTCCAAACAAAGTCAATGAACTGGACCAGACATCCGTCACCATGGTAACTGGTTTTGGGTTACATAAAGTGCCATGCAGAACTGAGTTGAAGTGTGGCTGCATGGTCACCATATGTATCATAAATGAGTCTGAGTAAGAATACATTTGTAGATGTCTCTTTCCCACCTTGCTCAAGGGCGGAGACCCTGTGCGTGTTGGAGTGGCGATGACAGACCTGTCTACAGGACTGATGGCACACGGTGCCATCATGGCAGCCCTGCTACAGCGGCATCGCACAGGCACGGGCCAGCACATCGACTGTAACCTACTGTCTACACAGGTTAGACAGAAAATAGACTAGTGAACTCTCTCTCTCTCTCTCTCTCTCCCCTCTCTCTCTCTCTCTCTCTCTCTCTCTCTCTCTCTCTCCGTGTCTCTGTCTGTCTGTCTCTGTCTCTCCCTCTCTCCTCCTCTCTCTCTCTCTCTCTCTCCCTCTCTCTCCCTCTTCCTCTCCCCCCTCTCTCTCCCTTTCCCTCTACCTCTCTCTCCCTCTCTCTTTCTCCCTATCCGGTTGAACGTCTGTTGTTCCCCATATTCCGAGGGTTAGACATGCTTGCACACTGATGCTGGGGCTTGATGGTAGCTCGCCATTTGCCTCTGACACGCATTGACTGCAATCTACTATCTACACAGGTTAGATTATGATAGAAACTTAGTATAACATGCTGTCACAGTGGTGGAATGCTGTATAAAGTAGAGAGGATTCATTTCTCAAGCTACCCAACATCTCGCACACGCAGTCGTCCCTAAGTAAGACATCTGGAGCCGCATAGTTCCTGTTTAGAACTTTTATTCAGCCTCACATAACTGGTTTTGCCTGTGTGGCTTCTTCAAGTGTACTAAGGCTAAATGACACAAGTGACATGCCCTCAGGCATGTATTTGCAATAAACTTTACAGTATACTAATTTGAAACTTGAAATTCAGAACCTGTCAGCAAGTTGGGCCACCCAAGTTCAAAAATACTTCCAGAGTTATGCATACTTCAGATATAACGTTACAGGTGTTCTATATACTAGTATTCTAAAACGGGCCTCAATAACACCTGTTTAACATGGTAGTCTGGCAACACCAGACTGTTAAGCAAAAGTTATATATTTGATTGGAATTGATTGGTACATTGCATACAGAAGACTCTGTCGATGATAGTACATCAAATTACATTTTGCCAACATGTAATTTAGTAAGTAACAGCAGAAAATCAGTGTGTGTGTGGCATTCATAGCTTGGTAAAGGTTAGTCGTGTGTACAAAACACATATAAATGTGATCTATTTTGGTCCTGCTTCCTGTCATTCTTTTGTTCTGTTGCATCAGGTGTGGACGATATAAACATAACACTTCGCGCAGGGCCACACGCAGTAACAAAAGTTATATAGAAGTCCAGACTAGGGGAAACATACAGCCTGTCAGGCATAGGAAAATAAATGATGTGGTCCTGAAAAGAATAGTATCATGAAGTTAGTTCATCTGTGTTGATAGTTACATGACATTTGTTTTAAGTTCAAACTTGTTATCCCACACAAGTTGATCCCCCCCCCCCCAAAAAAAATTGGGTCGGTAGGTAGCGATTGTCTTTCTTTTTTCTTCATTTTTGGATTTTGGCTGAATTGATAAAACAAATACAGTTTAAGAATATAAAACTGAAATACATTAGAACTGCCTGTCAGTTTGGAAATTCAGATGTCAGATCAAAAATTTTGTCAGCAGAGAAAATAAAAGCTAGGATCAATGGATTTTTGCTAGGGTTGGTCGGGAAACACGAAACACAAAATTTTTTTTCCTAGGCCTCACTTTTCTCACATGGCCACTTTCATAACATAAATATGTTCTTGAGTATTCTTGGCATTTTGAATATTTTAGAGACCAGCTAGATAGGATCATGAAAGGGACATATCAATATTTTGGTTTGGGTGGCTGAGTTGTGGGTTTGTGTCTCTGCTGGTTGCATGGCAGACTGGAGGTGATTTTGACAGTTGATAGATGGGGAGGCCATGCCTGAAGGTGACATGGCAAATCAGATCAAGTGGGTGGTATATGGAGGAATAGAGGAAGTCAGGTATAATATTTGATTAGTTAACAGCATACAATATACCCTCCACTGTTCCAATGCATTCACTCACTCACTCACTCACTCACTCACTCACTCACTCAGCTCCGCATGCCCCTCCTGGGGGCGTAGCGCCTCTGCATACGGCCCTCCAGGTCATTCACAGAATTAATATAAACACCCACAACACATTCCAGAGGTCTATATATGAACTCGAATGTCATTAAATTTCAAAAGACTCCCTGAAAGTTTAAAAATCTTTGCCTAAGTTTTCTCTCTAAGTCTAACTTGTTTGCTTTCTTGTTCTAACTTGTTTGCTGTGTTTTTCTCTCCATATTTATATGTAGGTGGCCTGTATTTCCCATATTGCTGCTAACTATCTCATGGCTGGACAGGAGGCCAGACGCTGGGGAACTGGACATGAGAGCATTGTGCCTTACCAGGTAAATGTGTAGAGAATACAACATTGTGATGCAGAATACACTGTGTTTTATTCTAATGTCAGACACACTCAAGAAAATACACATTGCAAATCATGCAGAATGCTCCTGTCCAGTAGTTGAGAAAATTTGTTGTTTTAAAACAAAATCAGGTACATATATTTAAATTATTGACAGCAGTGCATGCCCTGACATGTGCATTTAGTAAATAAATCATTACACGTCTGCCAAGATTTTTTCTAATTGATATTCCAATTCTATAATATCATTTTGCCTTGTTTGTCATGTAGCAATTGTTTTTACCTTGAATTTGTAGGCATTCAAGACATCAGATGGCCACTTAATCGTGGGTGCAGGGAACGACAACCTGTTTAAGACCCTCTGTAAGGTGAGAGAAATTCAGATCTGCTGAAGATTCTCATGTAACAATAGATTAGCTTTGGTACAATTGAAGTTTAGTATACTATATACATGTAATAGCTACATTTTGTAGTATGGATTAACTCTGACACTTATAACTGTATTGTAGTATAGTTTATGTACTGTATCTCCCCTTCTTTGCCATACAGTGTACATTGTACCAGTAAGTTTGTTGAGCAATAAAATTGATTTGATCTGATTTGTAACTAGTAAACATGGAAAGAATATGAAGTCTTGTGTTACATGTTGCAAGAAAATGTTATCAAAGGGGCAATCGTCAAATAAATCAAGTACCTACGGTAGACCTTTCCTTGCATGACCTTTTCTGTCTTCTGTTTAACTTCAACAGGTTATGGAACTTGAACACCTGTCTGAAGACCCACGTTATACCAGCAACCAACTCAGGGTGGCCAACAGGAAGCAGCTTATACCAACTCTGGCACAGAGGTAAGTTTACAATGAAGTGATTTCATGTAGACTCTTAAGAACATGAGCACAACATTGTGTGTGTCTAAATTAAGAGCACAACATTGTGTGTGCCTAAATTAAGAGCACAACATTGTGTGTGTCTAAATTAAGAGCACAACATTGTGTGTGTCTAAATTAAGAGCACAACATTGTGTGTGTCTAAATTAAGAGCACAACGTTGTGTGTGTCTAAATTAAGAGCACAACATTGTGTGTGTCTAATTTAAGAGCACAACATTGTGTGTGTCTAAATTAAGAGCACAACATTGTGTGTGTCTAAATTAAGAGAACATCCCATCTGGATGAAGGACACGGTTGTGTTATAGTTTGTACTATGTAAACTACAGCCTTAAGACCCTGTGAAATATGGCAGAAAAAGCCTTAAATAAAATGTAAAGTATAAAATAAACCATCATTTAAACCTTGAACAAACAAAGAAAAAGACACAAACAGACCAGGTAGGGGTTGATAACTGCACAGACCCTTTTAAAGTGTAACAACATTAAATGATATATTATAGATATAATAGATATTTATTCCATTCCAGAATGTAGCTTTTCTTGGTGCTTTTATGTGAGGACTTCTTCAATGTTGCGGTGAATCTGCAATTATCCTTTTTGACTTCAGTATCAGTACCTTTTTGTTTCAGGTTTTCAGAGAAAACTACAGATGAGTGGTTTGCAGCATTTGAGGGTAGTGGCTTTCCCTACGGACCAATCAACAACATGGAACAAGTCTTCTCCAATCCTCAGGTATGGTAAACTTTGTGAACTAGCTGACATTTTGTTTTGTGGATTAGGATATGTTTTTATGGTTACCGAAGGAAAACATATTGTTTTGCTCTGTTTCCTCTTCTTCTTCTTCCTCTTCAAACCTATAAGGTCAGTGCCCTGAACCAGACATCTGTCATCATGTTAACTAGTGTTGGGTTACATCATGTTGCAGTTTTATAGCAGGAGGGATTTAGACTCCTGTCTGACCATATATGTGTGTGTTTTTAGTAAGAAATTAACAGAGTATACCATATTCGAAGGTAAACATTAAACATTATGCATTATTTTGCTTTGCAAATGTTACAAATGTACTTAAAAATTTCTAGTTTTAACCATTCTTTATTCATGAGAAGCTCAAATCATCCTGCAGGTATACAATGTCTGTACTGGTGTGCATGTGCTAATTGCTGATCTCTTTGCATGTACAGTTCCAGAAAAAGAAATACCCTTCAACATTCATTCTGACATTTGAAGGGTTTGCTTGGGATTTTATGCACCATTGGTTGAATTTTGAGAGTTCTGTTATGCACCATTGGTTGAATTTTGACAGTTATGCACTATGAATGGATGGATGCACCATTGGTTGAATTTTGACAGTTCTTTTATGCTCTATGAATTAATGGATGCACCATTGGTTGAATTTTGACAGTTCTTTTATGCACTATGAATTAATGGATGCACCATTGGTTGAATTTTGACAGTTTTGCACTATGAATGAATGGATGCACCATTTGTTGAATTTTGACAGTTTTGCACTATGAATGAATGACCGCACCATTGGTTGAAATTTTACAGTTATGCACTACGAATGGATGGATGCACCATTGGTTGAATTTTGACACTTTTGCACTATGAATGAATGGATGCACCATTGGTTGAATTTTGACAGTTATGCACCATGGATGGATGCACTATTGGTTGAATTGTAACAGTTTCTTTATGCACCATTGGTTGAATTCTGATAGTTATGCACAATGGATAAATGGATGCACTATTGGTAGAATTTTGACAGTTTTGTTATGCACCATTTGGTTGAAATTTGACAGTTCTGTTAGTGTATGCACCATCGGTTGAATTTTGACAGTTCTGTCATGCACCATTGGTTGAGTTTTGACAGTTTTGCATTCTGGATGGATGGATGCACCATTGGTTGAATTTTCAAAGTTATCCACTATGAATGAATGACTGCACCATTGGTTGAATTCTGACAGTTTTGTTCTGCACCATTGGTTGCATTTTGACAGTTATGCACTATGGATGGATGGATGGATGCACCAATGATTGAATTTTGACAGTTCTGTTATGCACTTTTAGTTGAATTTTGACAGCTCTGTTAGTGTTATGCACTATATGTTGAATTTTGACAGTTTTTTATGCACCATTAAATTCAGTTCTGCACCATTTGGTTGAATTTTGACAGTTGTTATGCATCAGTGGTTGCATTTTTACAGTTCTGTTTTGCACCATTGGTTGCATTTTGACAGTTCTGTTTTGCACCGTTGGTTGCATTTTGACAGTTCTGTTTTGCACTATTGGTTGAATGTTTACCCACTCACAAAAAACGCAGGTTCTTCACAACAAGATGATTCTAGAGATGGACCATCCGAGTGCCGGGACTGTGAGGGTGCCAGGTGGGTTATTTTGCAGTGGTTGAAATACTTTTTTTTTAAATTTTCTGCAATATTGCAGAATGTCAAAATATTGTCCTGCAATTTGGAAGTACTTTCTGCAAATATACACTTTAAAGCCCTGACTCAAACTCATACAAAATTGAACGTTGGCAAACAGTTATATGCAATTTGAAAAACGCGTAACTACATGCAGTATATCATACAGTACATGTATTAAGCACAAAAGCTCCTAAACAATATTATACAGGCACAGTTGAACCTCTAGCCTGATTTTTCAGTCTGCAAGATTGCAGGCTGCATAACTTTTCTTCTGCAACATTGAAAATGTCTCTGCAAAATGCAGACTGCAGATGGGTATTTCTAACACTGTTTTGTCAGAGCTTTGTCCAGCTCCTTTGTCACAAGATGTTGAAATAAAGATTCACCTGGTTGCAATGCTTAGTCAAGAAATGGGAGAAAAAATTGACTGGCTTAAAGTGAATTATAAATTGATTAAGTACGTTTTTCCCCAGGACCTGCAGTGAAGTACACAGGAAGTAAGAGGGAGACACACTTGCCGCCTCCAACTCTGGGGCAGCACACGTCCGAAGTCCTGGGCAACCTCCTGCAGTATTCGGAAAAACAGATGCGGGACTTGTCCGAAGCGGGTGCAATCCGTATCCAGGATTCCTAACTGGAATGCTGCATTAAATCCATTCGTGGGAAGGATTCCAGCTTCTCAGATTTTAATTACAGGATACAGAAGCTGTCTGCAACGCAAGATTCAAGTTATTCAATTAATAGCCTACGGCAATAAAAAAATACACACACATACACGAAAAAAAACATAATCACAAGGCAAGAATCTACCTGAAAAGGATGGAATTCCGTTCGTCAACTATAACAAACATTTACAGTTCCAGAATCTGGAATTAACCAGATCGGATGGACCGTATCCTGTCGATATCAGGTAAGAAAACATTCATCAAGAACATGTTCGTTCGTTGACGTTTGTTTGGTTGCCACTTGAGCCACGGTGCGAATTCCCCGTGTATACCGCACACAGGATGTGGTTTTGCAGAATGTACCCTCCATAAAAGCTTCTTGGAAGTGCTAGGGAAACTTGTGTATGAAGTCATGTCTGGCTTACGTGGACCCTTTTCAAATGAACAGAATAACAGAATGTACAGTTGGTGAGGTGTGTTGCTGTACTGCAGTGCGTCAGGTAGGAAAAATCTGTCTTCTCTGGTATTTAGTTGATACCCTAATCTACAAAATAAGAAATGTACGTCAAAGGAAGGAAAAGGCTTCTTGTCCAAAGTGGTGTCGTGATGTAGAAAAAATGAGTACAATTCCACTGTTGTTTCGTTGCAATTGTTAAACCGTAGCCTCAAACAAATTATGGTGCTTCTCATACGTGAAAAGGGAAGAGATAAATTAGAAGTGGTTTGACAACGGTTGTGATGTAATGGTGTATGAATTCTTCCACATCGTAAAGTGGTTGCTAGATTGTAACAATGAGGTTAGAATTGTAACAATTTGTCCTGGTGTTGGCAAGGAATTCGTTGGAATAATTTTAGCTATGGAATAATGATAATAAGAAAACAGTTGTGCACAATAGTTTCTTAGGAAATAATGCTTGAATCTACTTTAAAACCTCGAAACAAACGTGCAATCATACTTTGTAAACCTATTTACTTCTCAAGCCAGCTTAATTAAGTTAGTAAAATAGAAGAATCTAACTCAGTTATAAAGATTGGATGGATTTTAGATGCCAACTTTGTTGCAGATGCTTTATTCTGTGTTCAAAAGTGTGAATTACGCTTAATAATTTTATCAAAATATGTTGTCGTTAAGTTGTAATCAAGTAAGAGTGAAATATTACTTTGTATGAAGGTGGGACAATTCGTAGTAATAATGCCTTAAACGCGAAGTAAATTAAGATCTTTTTTGAACAAACTGAATTTTTTCCACCAAGTGTTTGGGAAGAAAATCACGACTTGCAAGGACGGATTAAAGTATCGAATTATATCAGGAAATATTGTACATTGGTTTTAATTTTCGAATATACAACAAACCTACTCATTAAACAAGCTTTCTTGTCTTCAATAGTTTTGCATTCTCCCTTTCTATCTCGGTCCAAGTCTTGGAGAATTTATTTCGGTGGAAAGACTGAATGAAGCAGTCCGATTCCTTGGCGTGAATGCATTTGACAAAATAAAGCATTTAGTTGTTAAAATTTTCGTTCTGGCAAACATGCTTCAGATGGTATGTGTCAAAGCTTCTTTAAAACTCAGTATATATTCAAGAGGCAAGACTCGTAAGATCGTACACCTATGTTATTGTAGCATTGCTCTGCAAAAGCACTTACCTCGCAGCTATTCGTAACTAATGTTAGTCTAAAAAATCTGCAACATTCAAGAAGACTATTTGTCTTCTATTTTTTACGATTCAGGTCCTTATCGGATTGAATAAAAAGTGAAACAGTGCAACCTCCAAATGTATTGAAGTGACTTGTTGTATATCTCACATCTGAACAATTCGACGAGGGCGAATAACATCCTTGTAGAATTCTTCAAAGATAGCGTTGTCAGCAAAGCCGTTTTCGATGGACCTTTAACCGATCGTTACTAGTAGCATCGTGAGAGTATAGATTTAAAGATCCCCTTCACTGCTTGATCATTGGCACTTTTACAGAAGAATCCAACACAATTATTATCAAGAAGGGTAGGGGCGATCCAATGTGCTTGCCAGAGAAAGCGAGCAGCAGCGAAGCCACATTGTGTTCCTACTACATGTGGCCACATGAAAACGCATCGTGCTTCACCTCAGTTGTGGATGGCTAGCCTGGTTACCAAACCTATTATAGCTCCCGAGTCCTACATCCTCT